CACAAATATAACAAAGGCAACAGTAAAAATATTGGTAATATATATATATATATTACGAAGTAGTTTATGTATGATTTCTGACCAGCAGCCAGTTACATTGAATCTATGGATTTTCCTTTTTTTTCGTTTAGAAAAACAAAGTTTTAACAGGACTTTTACTGAAAGTTTAAATAATAGTTTATTTGTATCATTCAAGTAATTCAAGTATGGTTTAAAAAACAGCCAATTTTTATTTTGCTGTTTTTAAAAAAAAATAACTTTAACAGTATCAGAAAAGGTGATCATTCACTTTAAGAATCAAAACTTGCCTTCCCCATTGGTAATTCAACTTTGACTTCATGGCCAACTGGAAGCAGTTTCCAAGGGAGAATTAAAGAATAATCAGATTCATTGTCCTTGTTGGGTAAAATGTTCTGGGAAGAAAAAAACGATGACCCAAATGAATAAGATGTAGTATAGTAATCTTCATACTAAAAATGAAGATTATTTATTGCTTGATGATGATCATGATAATGATGATTAGCAGGCCGTTCAATCATTAAATGAACTTTTCATTCAGGCAAATTTCAGGCACATTGGAGTTTTACATCAACAATCTAGCTGAACCCTCAGTTCTTGGACCTCAAGAATTATTCAGTCTCTTTTCTTATATTTTCTGTTAACTGTTCTGAACCTTCATTAAATTTACAGTATTTCTTGTTGGCTCAGCAGAAAACTTTTTGCCATCTAGTACACATCTTGGATAAAGAAATGCATGTATTCAACAGCTAGATGGACGCAAACTATATCATTGTATTTTGGCTACAATTTACAAATTGCTTCAAAATGTGTATTTATTTAAATATTTTAAAAGTATTTAAAATTAAAAATATAAAATATTCTTTAATTTTTTTTAAAAAAAATTTAAAAAGTGAAAATGAGAAAAAAGCAAATTACAAAAAGTAAGTGTGAAGATGGCAAGAATAACAAGACCAGATTTTGGGGGGGGGAAACAATCCACATAATCCAAAAGGGCCCAATTGTCAAAGCCCTGGGTGAAGAGCCAAAACTTCAAGACCTTTTGAAACAACAGCAGAATGGTACTGATGGTTATTTATTTATTTCTACCTGATGGATAATTGGATGTCCATGGAAAAGGGATACATTCACACTTATGGTATTTTCCTGTTCCTGGAAAATTTATCATGTTCCTGCTGAGGGTATATGATAACTGAGAACATTACCTGAACTTTAACTTTTAGTACTGGTCCAAAGCTTTTTATGCAATGAAAGCGGAAGGAATCTAAATTTTTGCTTGTCTTCTGTGTACCTTCATAAGATTGATCGACTGAAAAGACCACATTTTTATTGGCTAAAATAAAACAAGAACATGATAAATTAAATTAGATGTCAGAGATTTATGCTTCTAAAAAGGTGTTGTTAGCATGAATACTGATAGGGATCATAAACTACCACTGCACATTATATCAAATATAGTCTACTCCAAATATTATTGCATACCAAGAATTAAATATCAAAAAGTATACAATATTGAATTAGAATAGCCTAATAAGATTATTATTTTTAAATTTATTCTTAAATTTCTTGGCCGCTCATCTTCCCTAAATGCTAGTTAAGAAACGCATATAAAATACATAATAAATGAGACTGAACTGGCAATATGCAGCAGAATAAAAAAAAATACTTTTCAGGGGCCTTTTCAATATTATCAGCATCTGCACTTTTTTTGTTTACCATGGGCACATCTGGAAAATGTGTCCTGACTCAATCTTGAAAATCTGCAAAGGCAATCAGGAAGGTATTGTCAGGGCTGCCAGATCTGTCATTTATACTCAGTGAAAAGTCCTTTTAATCTCCAGAACTGAGCATCAATTCTTGTCTTGAATGACTTTTTTGCTTTCCTTTTCAACACAGTTGAGAAAGTAGCTTATTTTCACAGTTCAAAATTGCGTCACTTAACCATTTCAATATAATTGCAAATGGCAAGTTCTAATGCAAAAGAGAGGGGGGGAGAATTCCTGAAAAAGAATCCATAATATTTTTCCAAGAATTCACAAGCATTGGGAGGATTTTAAACTATTTTGATCCTTTGCATATTACCCAGATTTGTTAATAGTTACAGAAATGCCATTTTGCATCATAATTTCATAAAGCTGTCAGGTTTGAAGACCCCTAGTTTTTTTTTTCTAAAGCGTTAGGGGTGCAAGGATCTTGTAACTTGACAGCTTTAAGACTTGCATGCTTCAATGCCAGAGTTTCTGAATAGCTACTTGGACCGACCTAAGTACTAATTCATAATTTCATATCCAGTCACATGGGCGGCAAGCCACTCCCATCCAGTCACATGGGGTGGCAAGCCACTCCT